GCAGAGACAGTAATTTCTACTTCCTCTACAGCACAGCACAGAGATTAACTAGAATTGTGGGGAAAATGTAATGTAACTTGTAAGGTAGTAATGTGCTTGTTGGATTCTAAAAGAAAGAGGTAGAGACATTATGACAGCTAAGCCTGGAACTTCTGTAAAACAATTTTATAAGTTTCCTGCTAGCTTTTTATTCCTGTTTTGAATATTAGCAAACTCCATAGTAAACCACCAGTTGGCACAAGGAGCAAGAAATCACAGCATGGAAACAAAGTCACTTCCAGCCTGCCCTGCAGCAGATATTTATTTGCACACACTAGGGATGCCAATTTAAGAACTATTTGCCAATACATTCTCTAATGTTTTCTGAGCAACACTAAATGGAATATTTACTTTATACTCCATGGATATTTCAATGCATGTGTTAGAACAAGTAAGCACCTTTAAAAGCCTTCCCAGGGGAAGAAAAAAAAATAGAATATAAGAAAATACAAGAAAAGTAAAGTGTGTCTCATTATTTTCTGTATATGGGGAAGAGGTCTATTTCTTTCTTTTATGACTTGCTGAACAGCAAAGAAGCTGTTTCCATGTCACTGGGTGTGCAAGACCACAAAAGTAAAAAGAAATGCCTCTCTGTCCTAATTCAGACCCTTTCTTAACATTGCTTAAGTGATCTGTTCCTGCAGTGGGGTTAACCCTAACTGTTAAGATTGAACAGTCTGGTTTTGTATGTTAAATACTAAATGTATGCAAGATCTTCTAAGGGACCATAACAAGATCTTGCTTCTCCTTGAGGTGGGTGCTGCCAAAGAGGTACACACTAGCACAGGGTGCTCAACACAGCTGAATCAAGGATTTTCCTTGAGCAACCCAGCACAGACATGGAAATCTGAAAAAAACACTTCCAACCAGTCAAACACGTTCAAAATAACAACCTCAAAATCACTGGCCACTTTCTCTCATCACCCAGGACCACACACAGCACTGACACAAGACCAACAGGGTGCTGTTCCCTGCCCCAAGACTTTCTGCATGCCCAGGCACATGCCACACATCTCTGCTGTCAACATCACCTTCTGGGTGTTCTGCTTGCCATGCTGAAGACCTAATTTTTTAGGAAAGCTGAGAATCTGAGGCACCCATTCCCTTCAGTGTGATGCAGGAAAGTTGGTTTATGCCTTTCCATAATTCCACATCCCTACAAAAAGTTGCTGAGCTCAATTGTGCATAACATATTTCAGATATGAAAGGAATGGTGCTATTGAAGTATAGAACATACAAAGGTGTTATTTCCAAAGCTGCATTGGAAGCACAAAGATCCAGACATACAGCACTATGTTAAGACTCTGAATATTGAAACACTAAAATTTTTTATTAATGTACAGAAACATATGAAAGCCTACAGGCATTTATAAACAAGGCTTGGTCAAGTCAAGTAATTCACCCAGAACACCACACTTTAATTCTTATGATCAGCCCAACTTTGACATATTTTCACCCACGTGGCTGGAGATAGAGCTGGAGGCAGAAATCATCTGGATAAAGAAAAAAGATTGAAATAAAACAAGAAACTGATGATAGAGGATAATGCAGATACAAGACAGGCACAGAAGACGAGCAGACAACCCCCACATAAGGACAAGAAGTAACAAAACAAGAATTCATCACTAAGCATGTGAAGAGCATGGAGTCATGAAAGCAGAGGAGGAACTGGAAGTGATACATGGTAAAATGGAGCAGGCATACAGGTAAGTATCCCAGCTTTGAGAACAATCTCAGGAGGAAAATTTTTAAAGTGAAAGCAGTCAGCAGTGAAAAACCTAAGAGGCAGAGCAGAATAAAGCAATATATAAAAAGCAGAGAAATAAAAAGCACAGGGACAGGGGAAAAGAGCATAATACTACAGAAGAATTCTTGTCAAGAATTGGAATCTAAACCTTGACCCACCAATTAGTTTTACAGTGGCCACTATGGCCAAGTAGATATCAAACATCAGGCCCTGGCTGGGCAGTGAGTAGCACAAAGGCATTCACCCCCCATACTCCCAAAGCCACTGAGATGTCATCTGTACTCTGAGTCAGAGAAAATGAGGCAAAAGCCTCTGGACTCAGAGGCAGTCAACCACACAATTCCTCCATCGCAAGAATATTCTAGCAGATAAAAGGATGTGAAACAGAAATCAGATTTAACAAACTCAAGGCAAATATGGGAAATGTAATGCAGGACAAGTTAAAATTATTGGCTTTTAAGTTATTGTGATGAAAGTTATGTGAAAAGCCAAACATCCTCAGAGTTTAAACAGTTTATGATGTCTCAAGAGCTTTAAAATAAAAGGAATGCCTTTACAGCACATTAAGTTTTTCAAACAACATGTCAATCAAAGTCTTTCCATTTCAGAGTATTGAGATAATGGTTATTGAAAATGATTGAAAATATTTTTGTGAAAACTCATAAAATAAAAGAAACTGAAATTCAGAGCAAGCATTTCATCCCCAGTTTAGTATGCATCATTATTAATGGTTTTTTTACAATTTTAGCATAAACATCTTTATTATCTAGGACTGGATGTGGGTTGTGATTCTGAGTTTGTGGTCTTTGAAAACTTTATAAAGCCCTTTGTATCTTGATACTTTTTAGTACTTGCTAGGGGATTAGGAACGTCAGAGTGATTCTCTCACTCTTGCTTACATGCCTGCTAACCCTCCTTCCACCAACCCTAACATCAAGTGTTGGGAATGACCTAAAACTGTTAATAAAAGGGTTTTATCAGGCAGGCGACCATCTGCTTTTAAATTAAACACTTTTATACTCCAGTAGCAGACAAGATCCAGGAATTACTCAAATTAATCTGAGTTTTTTATCCTAAAAGAGGATGTATGAAGACATGTCTACACAGAGCCCAAAGGACTACAGTGAGGTCTCACAGACAGAGACCCCACAGCAGCTGAGGGCCAGGAAGGGTAGCAAATTACTCCTCTTCATTGCTTGAGCTGAGCAAAGATCAAATAGCAAAGCAAAAGGAAAGAGACAAAACTCACAGCTGGGTATAACTAAAAGATTTTTTAAAAATACTGTAGGGAAAAGAATTTTGTCTTGTCTACTCAGTGTCTCTGGGAGATCCTTGGGCAGGCTGGAGACACCTTGAGTGCATTAGGACCTGCCTTGGAAGGGGTGCTATATATTGGAAGAGTGATGAAATAGCCTGACAGTGTCTGAGGACTTTGTAGTGTCACAGGACTGAACAGCATGGTGACAGAGTGGGGGGTGCTGCAGCTTTGGGACAGGCTGGTTTGAACAGCAGTGTAATGCCACAGAGCCCTCAGGGAGTCATGGGCAGCTGAAGGGACAGCACGACACAATATGATGCAGCCAGGACTCAACAGGGCCACGAGGGCTGTGCTGACTGCACTGCCACACCCAGCCCCGTGGGTTACAGCTCTGCGGGCCCACCCGAGCTATCACTTCAACCCCTCAGCTCGGCTTAGTAGGGCCTGGGTGTATTGGCAGGTGACAAGGTGACTATGAGCCCACAGTGCGCCTGTGCTGCCAGTGACGTCCTGTGGTGCATCAGGTGGCCAGCAGGTCAAGGAAGGTGATCCTGCCCCTCTGCGCAGCCCTGGTGAGGCACATCTGGAGTGCTCTGTCCCCTTCTGGGCTCCTCAGCACAAGGAAAACAAGGAGATACTGGAGAGGGTCCAGCAGAGGCCATAGGGATGATCTGGGGTCTGGAGCATCTCTTTATGAGGATACACTGCATGTCCTCATGCACTGCTGGCCCTGTTCAGCCTGGAGGAGACTGAGAGGGGATTTCATTAATGTATATAAATATATCAAAGGTGGGTGACAAGGGGATGGTGCCAAACTCTTTTCAGTGGTACCCAGTGACAGGGCAAGGAGCAGTGTCCAAACAAGGAGCTCCACCTCAGCTTGCGGAAGAACTACTTTATGCCGAGGGTGGCAGAGCACTGAACAGCTGCCCAGGGAGGTTGCAGAGTTTCCCTCTCCGGAGACACTCAAACCCCAGCTGGATTTGCTCCCGTGTCACCTGCTCCAGGTGGCCCTGCCTTGGCAGGGGGGTTGGACTGGGTGATCTCCGGGAGTCCCTTCCTGCCCTGATGATCCCGTGGTTCTGTGAACCCGGAGGGAATGATCTGTGCTGCACGCAGTGACGTCACGGGGTGGCGGTTTGGGGAACGGTGACGTCATCGCTGGTGTCACACCAAGGATAGAGCTCAGAGGAGGAGCCGAGGGCAAGAGGGTCACAGCGGGGCTGCACAGCGACCTCCCCTCTGGTGGGCCGCCGCCTCCCGCGAGGAGCCGCAGTGACGCCATCCCGGTGTGACGTCACTGTGCGTGGTGTGACGTCACCACGGCGCTGCCACCTCGGGAGTGCGGCAAGCCCTTACCTGCCGGCGCTTGTCGGCCGCCTTGGGGGGCATGGCCGTCCCTCACTGCAGCGGACGCCCCTCGCCGCAATCCTGCTCCCTCCCGGCACGCCGGAAGTTGATGGCGGCAGCCATGGCAACGCGCCGGAAGCGGCGGATGGACCCGGCCATTCCCCCATCCCACCCGCTCTCCCCTCGAGAGAGGAAATGGTACATCCCAGCTGCCGCTGCAAATAGAGCGCCGCGACCCAGAGAGAGTGACGGCGGGCCCCGCCCCTTGATGAATATTCAAATAGGGGCGGGCCATGGGAAACCTAGCAGCTGGGCCTCGACCTGATGCTCGAGGCCACTCCCACTCATGCATATTCAATGAAGTGGGGGCAGGCCTCGGGGAACGTAGTGACCGAGCACAAAACGGGTTGTAGCAGTCGTGCCCTCGAATGACTATGCAAAAGAAGGCGGGGCCGCAGGGAGACCACCGTTCGGCCACCGATGACAGCTCTCCCGCCCCTCATGAATATTCAAATATGGCGGGGCAGCGGAACCCAGCATCCGGGCCCCGAGCGAGGAACAGTGGCCCCGCCCTTCATGAATATTCAGAAGGGGCGGGGCGGTGGCCGGACCCGGAAGCGGCGCGGCTGAGTCACGGCGGCGGCGGCGATGAGGCAGCCGCAGCCGCGGGCGGTGTCGTTGTCATTGTCGCTGTCGCTGTCCCCTCTCGGCGCCTGAGGAGCCGTCCGCGCCCGCCCGCCCTGCTCCCCGTGCTCCGCCCGCCGCGCTCGGCGCCGCCGCCAAGATGATGGAGGAGATAGACCGGTTCCAGGTGCCCGCCGTGCGCGCCGAGATGCAGCCGCTGGTGAGGGGCGGGCGGGCGGGGCCGCGCTGTGCCCGGGTTGAAATGACCCCGGTGCCGAGGGGGTCGCGCACACGCCCCCGGGTGTCGGCGCTGCGGGCGCGGCGGTGCCGCCGTTATATAACGGGGTGTCCTGGGCGCTGCCGCCATCCTCGGCGGGCCCGGGGCCGCTGCTGTGTCATCCCGGGCCATCCTCTTATCCTTCCCCCTCCCCGTCCTCTCCCCCTCCTCGTCGTCCTCCTCCTCATCCTCCTCCTCCCCCGGTGTGTCCCCGAGCGCCGTCGGTAGCAGAAGCGGGCGGGGGCAGGCGGGCGGCTCCGCTGCTGCCGCGATGGAAACGCCGCTCCTCCCGGAGCATCCCGGGGTGTTCTCCCGCCGCCGCGCACGGGAATGGCCCGGGGACGAGCGGGAAGCGGCGGGGGGACTGGGGAGCCCGCTTGTGGGCGCTGAGGGTGGTTGGTCTTTTAATTGACTTTTCCAAGGTAGGTGAGGTCTGTGGAGGAATCGGGCGGTGTTCGTGCCCAGCCCGCGCTGGGAGCTGCGGGAGCGATGCTCCCCGGGGATGGCGGAGCTGCAGGGGCTGGGTGTGAAGTTACACGCGCTGTGGAGCCGCAGGACCTTCTCCGAGGCTGGTTTTATAGCCTGCTCTCGACACTAAGCTGCAGGGAGGAGGTGCTCATCTTGTGTAAAGTCCAGATATTCTGCAAAGAAACATCTCCGTCAAATTAGCTTTGCTGACATTAAATTATTTCTGTAAGGAAAGCAGTCTGTGAGGGTTTGATGCCGTGCCACGGCATGTGCTTTTCATATCAGGATGTTTTTTTCACATCGTAGACACAATTACACTCAATTAATGAGCTCTGAAGAGCTTGACATAATGGTTACACTACTGCATGGGACCCTGGGGAATCTTTCAGAGGAGGAAGTCTGCAGGCTCACAGGACTTTGCAGATGTGTAAGTGGGCAGGTAGAGTGGTCCTGGGCTTTTGATAGCTTTTGAAATGAGTTATGAAGGAAGGCCAGCTGGCTGGCAGCCAGGGGAGTTGCAGACCATCAGCAAGTAGTGCAAGACTTCTTATGAGCTTGTAGCTGCATTGCTCCAATGCCAAAGGTTTGTTTGTGTATATGTTATGCCCCATCTGCCTGCCACGGGACTCTTGAATGTGTTTGCCCATTTCTGTTTTCTGCCTGGAAGAGGTTCTCTTGTGTGTTCCCCTCCCCTCACTCCTGTGTTCCTCAGTCTCTGCCAGGAGGTGTGTTATTAGTAACCTGGGGCCTGTTGAAATACAGTTCATCTTGTCATTAAACTGAAAGCTGGATAACAAGCTCACTTGCTAAGGGTTGATTCCTTTTGGTACCTGGAGTAAGCAATTCCCATCTTGGCATCTGATTGTGTGAGACGGACATATGAATTGTTTGGGAAAGTGGAAAGAACTTCAGTGAAATACTTGCACAATTCCTTTTGGCAGCAGGTGAGGATAGGTTGTTGCTAGGTTTGTGCTAGCACTGAAGCACTTCTGAGATTTCTAATATGTCAAACTATATGTTATTTAGAACTGATGTAAACACAACCTTGGTTCCTTGTTGCAGTTGGTGTTTGTAAGAAGTTGAGAGCACCATTAAGTGTCTTGTGAACAGAAAAGCTCTTCAAGGTTTACAGACTCAAATTATCTCTCAGTGGCAAGAAAAACATTTATCTTATTGCGGAAGTGTTGATACATTCTGCAAATATGCTTAGTTTGGGTTGCATTCTGGGTTTGGTTGTTTTTGTGATTTTTTTTTTTGTTTTTGTTGGTTGTTTCTTTGGCTTCAAACCTTTGTGATGGGGCAAAAAACTGTCCATACAAGCTGATGTGGGCTTGTTGCATTCCCTGCTTATTGTTGGTGTTCTTATATAGGAGACTCAACAAATGTGACAGGAATAGCCATCTTTATTTGTTTTATTGAAGGCATAGTAGTCAAAGTAGCAAGTTTGAAAAAGCTGTTGTCAGACAAAACAATACTCTAAGTGTTTTCTAGAAACTCCATGATAATAGTGGAAGAGTGGAATTTGCAGATACATGCATGTCTGCATGGACATGAACCAGGCAGAATCCAAACAGCTTCTCTGGTCCCACCTAGTTGTCTTGGGATATGATGGTGGATTGGGCAGCAGTGATAGTAAGTTTAGGAAACAGTTTCCTTCAACATGGAGGAATTAGAAAATTTTTACAAAGGGCTTTAACATTTGCATTAAAAAAAATACTCTGCATCTGTGCTTCAGGGCTTCAGTTCTTTTCTAACTACTGGAGCTCATAGTGAAACCTTGTGGTTTTGGGGGTCTTGAGTGTTCGGGGGTCTGTACACACAGATGTTGTGACTGGTTGTACAGGATTTTTCCACAGGCATGGAAATGTTGGCAGTGCTCTCAGAAGTGGGATGTAGCAGGTCAGGTACAGCATTTCTGGTGGTTTCCTCTGCTTTGTAGTTCCTGGTCTGTACTTTGCAGAGAGGGATTGGTTACTTGTAAGAATCCTTGCAAGTCTGGGATTTATCACATTAATTTGTTTGGGTGGTGCAGTTCTGGCCAATACCACTGCTTTGTTCCATTACAATTACCATGTGTCTGTCACTCTCCCTCCCATTCTGTATTTTTAAGGTTGCGGTTTAAACCCAGTTAACAAATAAATCACTCACAGCCACTTGCTCACTTCCCTCCCACATCAGGATGGGGGAAGATAATCAGACAAGTAAAAGTGAGAAAACTTGTGGGTTGAGATGAAGACAGTTTAATAAGTAAAGCTAAAACCATGCACACAAGCAAAGCAAAACAAGGAATTTATCCACCATTTCCATTGGGCAGGCAAGTGTTCAGCCATGCCCAGAGAAGAAGGGAGGGCTCCATTACACCTGATGAATATTTGGGAAGACAAATACCATTACTCCCAACATTCCCCTTTGTCCTTCTTCTTCCTAGCGTTATATGCTGAGTATGTGGTATGGAGTATCCCTGTGGTCAGTTGGGGTCAGCTGTCCCATCCGTGTGCCTGCCCAACCTCTTGTGTGCTCCCAGACTCCTGGCTGGTGGGGTGGGGTGAGAAACAGAAAAGGCCTTGATTCTGCAAGTGCTGCCCAGCAATAACCAAAATATCCCTGTGTTATCAATACTGTTTTCAGCACAAACCCAAAACACAGCCCTATAGTAGCCACTGTGAAGAAAATGAACTTTATCCTATCAAAATCAGCACAAAAGTACAGAATAACAGTATCATCTCAGGACTTACTGTCTTCTTCCCAGTTTAACAGCTTTCAGTTCCAATGGTCTGAGGGAGAGATGCATCTGTCACTCTTTTCCACATCCAGAAAGCTGAAGTAAAAGTTTGTTTTTCATGTGCTACTTAAAAGTCACAGTGACTTACCACTGAAGCTGTATATAAAAATAAATGTTTCTAAACATTATTCCCTGCTAAAAGCAAACAAAGAAGGTCCCTTGCTTGATTTATAGAGTATACACTAGATGAAATATTTTTTCATTCTGTTCCAAAGGGAACAGGGTGTCCCAGGAAAGCACTGTTCCCTCTGAGTGCTGGCCAGTGTGTGACCGGTCCTGAAATGAGGTTTGTGAAGCTGGGATTTGCTCAAAATCCTGAACTTTGTGTTGTTGACCAGCATGCATGCTTTTTGAATGTCTGTTCATCTGCATTGATAAGGTGTCATCTTAGCTTTTGATGTCTTTGTACTGAACTCCAGGACAACTGCTGCTGATCTGCCTGGAAACCATCTGACAGGCCTGCTGGTCTGCCCATCTTCAGACTTAAAAGATTGGCTTCTCTTTGGCATGTAGCAGCTATACCTTTCTTAGAACGCTGTCTGAAACCTTTCTGAGCCCTTCCACCCTCCAGACCTGCCACTGACACTTGCACTGTTTATTGATCAGCTGCCTGTCAGGGGTGATAGTGCACTGATGTTTGGTGTCTGCTGACAGCATATCCTGACAGTAACCAGTGCTTTATTTAGACCAGGGACAGAGAACCTGACGCTTTGGGCTTTTTGCAAAACTAAGTTCTTTAAACCTCAAATGTGTCTTGTCTCTTTGATAGCCTTGTCCCACCAATGTCTGTTTTGGCTTGCCATTGCAAAGCTAAAGGCAGCACCTCAAGTAGTACAGGCTGGACAAAGCCTATGAGGATCTCTGGTTGCTGCAAGTTTCTCTCTGCTGATAACAAGTCAGATAGGGATTGTGTTGCAGAGATGAGGTGTTTGGCCTGCAGGTTGCATGTTGGCCAGGTCTGTCATATGTGCCCTCCAACGCTTCACATTGGATGCAGTGATGTGAAGTTAATGAGGTGGGTAGTCATCTTCCTCCTCTTTCCAGCTTGTTTGGATAAGCATTGTGGAGTCAGGCAAGCTGGCTTGACTCTATGTGACCTCTACAAATGTGTTTTGAGAACTGCTGGGTAACTGATGCACACCCAAAGGAGAGGTTCAGCACAAGACTTAATGAGACAGAGTTGCTATGTGCAGTTGGACAGGATGGCATACAGTACCTGGTAACCTGGTTTTACTTGGTTAAACATCATCCACTTGTCAGATGGGATGAGGCACAGTGTTTCACATCTTGGAGAGACACATTACACTGCATGTTTTGATGTTGTGGTACGATTCTGTACATTTTCATCCTGGAAGAGAAGACAGGCTGGTAACTGGCACTTGGTCACATTCATGTCATGCCTGTCCATGAAAATTGAACTGTTTGTTCTGATCCACATTTCTATTCTTGTATGTTGGTCACATTTGGCTTCTATCCTAAAAATGTCTGGCTTTTCAAATTAATATAAACTAATTTACAGGGTGTTTTGTTTACTTCTAATGTTTAGTATCACGTCATCCTTATCAACGTCATGCAAGCTCAACTGCAGTAACTCTGTTCTGCTTAGATTCTGTTCATTTCCAATTTGACCTGTTGTGATCTTTCTGCACTCACAGAAGGGTCTCTCTGCCTTGGCTGCTGGGTAGTGGGTTAT